CAATCGAAAGACACTCATTGACTTCAAACAATTAGTAGAGAATACGACAATTTAAAAAAAAATGGATATTGATGAAGTATTTTTTTAGATATATTAGTTTTACTAAATTATTTATTATTTACTAATAAATTTAATACATGTATATAACTAGTCTACAAAAGAAATGCACTGTTACCTCAGAAGACAACGGCTTTATAAGAGACTTGAAAAATAAGTTGCTTTATTATTTAAAAACAGTTGCTGTTGAAAATTTAACAGATTTGCACAAATTTGCGCTTTTTTATACCCGCCAGCAAAAGAGCTTAAGAACTTTACGAATCTGAGCAAAGGTACACAAAAGAGAAATGTTTACAAATTATGAGAACGTTAACTGAGAATTCTGACAGTACAACGGAACCACAAATTGCGGATACACCTTTGTTACCTTCAGACAACTTTTAGCTGTTTTCAGGTCTTCTTAAACAACCTACCTTTGTGAGCAGAACTGATAAAGCTACTGCAGAGCACCGGCGATATGAAAATATTGAGGTATATTTTCATACGGACTTCGATATAATTAATTGGTGAGAGGTATACAAATGCGAAATGCCGCTACTGCATAAACTCAGTCGTAGAGTAAGTAATAGCAACTCCTTCAACTAGCGCATCGTCAGAAAGAGTTTTTTCTTCTGCTGGAAATGTTATTTCTGACAAAAGATGCAAACTTTTGTCAAATGATGATGCCCTTAATCAGTTGATATTTTGCATTATAATATGCAGTTAGAAAACCAATAAAATTAACAAATATTGGCCCGTAGTTATAGTCGAAAGTTAAAACCTCTTCTAGTTAAAATTAATCTTTAAGTTTAGAGCAGGCTTTAAGTTTTAGTCAGTTATAGACATGTTAGAGGTAGGTTTTTGCTAGATTGACACAAAACAGGGGCATTAATATAAAATGAAAAATGTAACCAATCGGCATTAGGAAAACTTTGTTATTTTAGCAAGTTCACCCTGTGTCAACTGACTTTTATAAATAATTTTGAAAATGGCGCAGCAAACTGTAAGTAAATAACAAATTTTTGTAAAATATAATTTATTAACGTAAATAATTTAATTTTATAATTTTATAATTTTTATAGGAAGTGAAAAGAATTCGTGAAGTTAATTGGACTGCTGCTGAAAAGACCTGCTTGCGGTCCTCCTCTTTCATTTGAAAAGGATCTTGGCGTTCCTTGTATGTTTTCCTATTTCTGGTTGCGATTGTATCATCCAAAATCGCAAAATCTCTAAATATCCTTTGATTGGGAAGCATATTCTTCAAATTAAAACCACTTTTGTATTTTCTCCGCAAATTTTGACAGGAAACGTCTACCGTTTTAAAGATAAAAGGTCTTTTAATTTGACTATGACAGTGTTAAAAGAGTTTTTATCTTAATATACAGTTTTAAATGTTAAAACCTGCCTCTAACTTGTCTATAACTACGGGCCATTGTCTTTACAAATTGTTTTTCTTTGATACTTTCATTACAGCAGTTATGGTATGCACTTGTTTTTCCAATCAAGCACTTGTTATTTGAATCGAGCACTTGATAGTGTGAGTTACTCACTCAATTGACAATGTTTTTTTCAATGCTATCGCACGTTATGTTTGGAAATAGATGAGTGCGAGTGTGTGCAGATGTGAAAAGAAAGCGAGTGACTTAAAATGTATTACGAGTGTATCCATGCAGCTCTCTGATATGTACATATCGTCGCCTGGGTAAAAGATTGTCGTAAACGCCATTTTGACGATTTTAGTTAGTAGTTTAGTTAGTTTAGATTTTAGTTTAGTATATTTTAGATATCTCCTGTAGTTTCCGAGATATTGAGTAAAATTTGTTCGATAATTTAGTAAAAATTTAGTTAGTGTTGCAGCCATATTAGACTAATCAATATCTTAAAAATGGCGTTCTCCATTTTTGGATATCTCCTTTAGTTTCCGAGATATTGAGTAAAAAGTGTCGTTAATTTGGTAAAAATTTTGATCACATTTTGTCGTATTTCATACAAAGTGGCTGCCAAATTGTGGACAAATGACGCTTACGACAAAATTTTACTAAAGAAAATCCTTCATAAACTCAAAACTAATAACTTAATATATAAATAAATAAAAATAATTTAAGAATTTTGTGAACTAGTAACATTTTCATAGACTTTGGAGAAAACCTATCTTCGCGTTTTTGAGAAATTGCTTTCCAAACTTCTATCGCGATTTCCCACAACATGCCGAAATTAACATACGACAATCTTTTATCCAGGCGACGATATGTACTTTATTTCTAGCCCAATTGAGCTGTGTATGTAAACCAAGCTTTACCTGAGTAATCGCATACGCAACCCTTGCTGCTGTTTCAACATCAATTTAAGAGAAAATTTATTTTTTCATGTGGCATTCATATAAAAAATTAGTTTTCACCTTGCTTCATTTTGGTGTTCATCAGAGCAAAATGTAAACCAATTATCTTTTTCTCTAAATTTTTTTATGAGCTCCTCAGAGCCAGCTGAAAAATGAGTAATTTTTTT